TAACTTAATACAAATAAAATGATGACATTTACATTTTTCTAACAATTCCCTCCTGTTTATCATTTTATTTGCAATTGAAGCTTAACTTTAACTTACTAAGTACTCATTACTTGCATGTCCCATTATCAATGAGACTGTCATTTTGTTAGGCATTTATTAAGGGAAAACTTTAAACTACGGGTTGTACTTCTTCTAGATGGGTTTTTGAAAGCTTTTGATATTGAAAATTATCATTTCTCATAGTTTTAGAAATCATAGACTTTAGGCATGGGATTACACAGGCAGTACAAAAAAGGATAATAATAAAGGGGGTCATTATTTTCAGCAAGAGGTGCCACCACAGCCTGACATGAGCAAGGAGAGGAAGTGCATTCTTACAGGAATAGCATCCTGGGACATGGCCTTTTGTAGATTCTTTAAGGCAGACATAGCTTCTGTAACATGACTTTCTTTAGCATCAGAAATATATGTACAGCAGGACGTTGTAATTGTCAGACACACACCGCTTTGGCTAGCAGTTAACATGTCCAAAACCTTTTTATTTTGCAGTACCATTGAACACATTTCACTTATTTGTTTGTTTTGTCCTTTATTGATGTCCATGTTCACCTCGGTCTTCATTCTGTGATTCTTCATTCTGGGATTTGCCAACCCCCAAGCCTGGGAAAAGTGAAGGTTTTGTTAGCTGTGCTCCAGTGCTTATGTTTGGAGGGAATGTAAGAACCCCATATGAGATCATGAGGTTGCAACATTGAGCTGGAGCTAAGCTCTCTTTTCCTCCTGTTAGAGGGATGATGGTGCTCAGCCTGAGCTGAGATGATGACAATGTGGTCAGAAACGAACATAGGAGCACAGGTGCCTGACCAGTTTTCAGTTGACTTAAAAGTTGAGCTGTGGTTTCCAAGTAGAACTGTTGGTGTGCTTTCGATTAGGGAGGATGACGTAGACAAAGTGAGGGTAGAGGCCAGTGATGCTTTGGCATCCTGTTACATGTCCTACCTTCACCGTATCTTTCCTTCTAGGTGAGAGAATACACACTGGATGTGTCATTCCTTTAGGCATAACAGCCTTCATCTTGGTGGGCTAACCTAAAACATTGCTGATAGAGAACATTGACTTTACTCCTTTGCACACCCGTTCCATCATAATCTCTCCAGTTGTGGCGTTCATTAAGGTAGCAGGCATAAACTGGAATGCACATGATGCAAAACAGATAGCCTGTGATGCATTCATGGGGGTTATGTATAAGGTAGGCTTCTTGGTAGACTTGGGCATGACAGAAAACACGTAGCAATCAGTGTTATTATGATGCAGGGCTACAGCCCTTGCATACATTTCCCATAGGTTGTCAACGTGGTGGTTTGGGATATTACCGTGCCAAATATTCATGGCAGTGGAGTGGATGAAACTCTTTCCTCTCTCACTCAGTGGGTCTGGACTGAAACAGACAACACATGCAACAGCCAAAACGCAAAGGAAGCCCCATCTCCATGGAAACCCCATTTTTGCTGGGTTAGCAGAGATGTTAATTTTACCCAGGACTCTAAAGAACAGGGATCAGTTCATCATTTGATTTCTTCACCGAGATGAGTGACTCTAAAAAAACCAAACCCCTTTGTAGTCGGACTTCCCCACTGTTCCAGCCTTAGGCCTTTAACACCCTCTGTAACTTACAGTGGCTGAGATTAATCCAAGATGGACTTTCAGCGATCTTCACAGTTGTTGGTGTGGTCAGGAACACTTGGAATGGTCCTTCCCACCATGAGCTCACCCAATTCTTCCTTCTGATGACTTTGATGAACACCCAGTCCCCTGGTCTCACTGGTTATGGTTCATTTGAAGATAAAGGTCCTTCTGGCAGTCGATTTGCATTGGACACTTAGACTGCAACATTTCTCTTATTTCTTAGGTGGCATTTGTGTTGTGAACCGGTAATTTGTACGATCTGCCATGTAATATTTCAAATGGAGTCAAACCACTGCTTGTTGGAGTTTTTCTCATGAACAGTTTTAATAGATCCAGGCACTCTTGCCATTGCCTCTTTGTTTCTTTCATACACTTTTTAAGCCTGGATTTAACTGTCCCATTTGTTCTTTCCACAAGGCCTGCACTTTGTGGATGATAAACACAGTGATTCTTTAAGGTTATTTGTAACCTGCTTGCCATTTGCCGAATCACCTGCGTCACAAAATGTGGACCATTGTTTCTGTACATTTTCTGCCAAAGTTTGGAACTACAACATGGTATATAGCTTTAGCTACTGTCAATGCATCTGCATGCTTTTCTGGGACTATTTCAACCCATTTTGAAAATGCATCAATCATTACTAGACAGTATTTGGAAGGGCCACTTGGTGTTGGTTCAATAAAAGCCATATAATCACTTCAAAGGGTCCTTGTGGTTTTGGAAACTGTCCCCATTTTGGTTTTAAATTGAGGATTATGTCTTACACAGATTGTACAGGCTTTACAAAAGTTTTTTGTACAAGAATTAAATTCATATGTGGTAAAATTTTGCTGTATTAAAGTTATCATTCCTCCCTGTTGAGACATGGCAAGGCCCATAGCTCAAAATAGCTGCTGCTTTGAATAAGCTTTTAGGGAGAACTGTTTTGTTGCAAACTTTACAGAGTCCTTCTAGATTCACTGCTGCTCCATGTTTTTACCCACATTTGTTTTTCTGCAGTTGGCGCTGTTTGTTGTCTGTTTATTAACACTTCTAGATCATGCTTTGTTCTGTTTCTTGCTTTAAGAAAATATCAGAGGAGCCAAATTTTCCTCATCCTGCTTGTTTTGCAGTTTCATCTGCGAGCCTGCTTCCTTTTGACACTGCATCAGTGATTTTTGTGTGAGCTGTACATTTTAGTAAAGCTATTTTGTTTGGCAAATAAATTGCTTTCAGTAGTTTTGTAAGTAAGTCTGCATGTACTACGGTTTTGCCTGTTGAGGTTACCATGCCTCTGCGTTTATCTTGTTTTGCAAAGAAAAAGATAGTAGAAAATGCTTACTGACTATCAGTCTAAATTGTCAAATTTTTTCAGTTCATAAGCCCTTATTAATTAAATACACTCAGCTACCTGTGCTTGACATCTATTCTTTGGATGTTTGCTGATTTTACAAAAATGGGCATTTTACATGCTTTCAGTCCTACATTATTTTTCATACATTTTACAGGCTCCTGAATCACATAAAAGAGTAACTGGTTGTCCATTTATTGTAAGTACTATGTATGGTTTTTCTTTTAATGCATTTAATAGGCCCCATGCTCCATACAAATCTACTGGTTTTAATGGCTCTGGATCCCCATTTGTTCTAGAAACTAGTCATGCCTCACCCCGCGGATGTAGTGCTTGTGTCTGATTGGACACTCCCGAGACCAATGGTCAGGTGGGCCAAAAATTCCAGCATCCCTTATCTGAAAGCCCCCTCGGCCCCTAGGACTGCCCCTGCTTCCTCAGAAACCTCCTCAAGGCCATTAAGGGGGTCCTGTGGTTTGGAAAGAAAATGTTTCTTCTGGGTCACATAGAATCGGCCCAGAAAATTTTAAAATCTTCTGTGGATACATTTGATGTTGCCAGGGTGATTAATTTTTTTTTTTTTAACCACGTGGAGATATGTGGCTGGAAACCTCCCAACAACATATATTTTTTAGCTGCTGCTGATGTAGTGTATTTTCTCCATCAGTGTGGGGTATGATGCTGTGGAACCTGTATTCTATTTCAAAATGTATTTTAAACTTGTCTACGTCTTCTCCTATTTTAGTTTTATGGACGTAAATGTCCATAATCTGCCCTCCTGGGGAAACCTGTACGCACTGCTTCTGCCACAGCTGTCCATTGCTGTTTCGGTTCCTCTCCCATTGGCGCGTGATGTTCAAATACAATGCCTTGTGGGGTTCTGCCTTTATGATTCGCCCTTATTTTTCCCCCATGTTTTCCCACTGACGAATGTAAGGCTCGTCCAAACTCATACCCATTTCAACCATATGAATTATAAATTCCCTCCATGCCTTGGATCCATATTTCCTGATCTTCCTGCAGAGAAGTTACACCTTCCATATCCTTTCTAGCTTCATCTAACGGCCACGGACTAAAAACTGGGATTGTTGGAGGCTGCTGATCTCTTTAAATCAGAATTTGTGAACTGCACCATAGGATACAATCCACATTTGGAACATACTTAGGGGGGTTTTAGGGGATTATTGTCATGTTGGGTTCTAGGCGTCAGTTAGGGTAAATCCAGGTAAACTGCAGGTTTACAGATGACGGGGTAAATACCTGCTCAAAGGTGGAACTGATCTGCAGGGGGGAAACCTTGAGGGTCCAGAGGCTAGTCGGCAGGCAGAGGGCTGAGGGCAAGGGCAGAGGCTTAACTGAGTGCAGGCTGGCAGATTCCAGACAGAGATTAATCTCCAGGATTTCAGGTTTTCAGACAGGACTCGATCTGTGAGGCAGAGAGAAACAGGGTCAGGCAGGTTCACAAAAATCAGAGATACAGATCAGGTTGGTTAGCTCAGGTCTCGCTCTACCATTACTGGCAAACACTCTGGCAGGGAAGTGTCAGCCTCCTCCTCCTTAAATAGGGCTTCCTTGATGAGCAGATGGAAGACAGGTGTCGCAGTCAGCTCATGCCCTCAGGAGATCTCGTGCGCCCTCTGGTGGAGAAGGTGGACAAAGCCTCCAGATCCCAACAATTATGTGGTGGTAGTGGTCTATCTTCTTCAGTCATTACTATAGTTTGCATGACTGAAGCAGTTTTCTGGCAGGTTCTCTTTTTTAGAGCCTAATATTGGGGGAGACTGGATCTGGTGCTGCAGTCGTCGCTCCACATGCTGCCCCACCTCCTCCTGCTGGTTGGATCTGTCTACCTCTACACAGTTTTTCATTATCTTCTGGATGGACAAACATAAGATTAAAGACGGACGAACTTAACATCAGATCTATTTATTTTAGTTTTCATAATAACCTCCTGTCTACTTTGCGCCTGTATCAACCAACGGCGAGCTAATTTGAGTTTTTTTACATGCTCGAAGAGTGTAAAAACCTTCTCAATCCAAAGGGCTTTGTATGATCTTGACATTTTACTGCTAGAACTGCTTCAACTTTTCTTTCAAGGTTTTAAATAAAGTAGGCGTGTGTTTGTGGATATTTCTGACTATTTGTTCAGAAGTTGGTTTATGGATCTTGATTTAGGTATCTGTGCAGTCATGTCAGAATAGGAAGGTCTTTTTACCCTAACAACTAAGTTTGTGGAAAGGTGGTCTAAAAAAGATACTCCTCATTTCCTTTAACAGATATAAGTAATGAAAGATACTGTAATCTTTATTTTTAACTATAGAGAACTGCTAGATAAGGGGGTGACAGTATCTTTGGCTTTGGTTCAAGCTCATAAGCCTGACTTTGCACACATTGCCTATGGATGATGGTCAGAGGGCAGTCTCATTTCTGCCAGTAAATCCAAGGCAACTGTGGCTACATTGCAGTTTCTGAGTTGAAAAACTGCTATTTAAGAGTTTAGGCTCTAAATTATGTTTTTAACATATCAGGGCAAAACTTACACATCGGTAATTCATTAATATGTTCAGTCACAGGAATATTCCACAGTGTCAGGGTTGGTAGATTTTGTCTGTGGACCCAAATGCTGAGTAGAGCATGTCCAGATGTCTCAGATTTCCAGGGAGAGTGCCCTTATTGGACCACCTGTCCTTGGCTAAAGCTGTCCCCAGAAATGTCCCAGATTTTGCTGTTTTATGAATGAAGGGGAAAATATTGTTTGTAGACTGTTATTACTGTAGTAAGAGTAAGTAAGAGTATAGTAAGAGCACTTAAGCATGTTGCGCACAGAAATCGCAGCTGGGATGAGAAAATAGATTCATATTTATTTAACAGAATGATTTAAAATGCCTTGCAAGGTGCGTCTCTGGTTCGGTGGTTCTCAAGAGATCAACAAGGCTTCATCTAAAGATGTTTTTAGAACTGATTGGTGACCTTTATTGTAAGTAGAGTTATAAGTTGTTTTGCTGTTTTATGGTTGTGATTTATGAGCATAAACTTCCTGGCTTAGGTCTACCTTTCTGCCACTCACTTTGGATATATGAATGTTCCTAATTATAAAACTAAGAGGCAGTAAAAAGAAAAATAAATGATGGGTCTGCATGATCTAAGAATGATGGGGGAAGAGATAACCACCTGTTTAATGTTCATTTATTAAGTTGTTTTTACTTGAAGCTCCAGGAATTGTGGTGATTTTTTAGTATTTAATCAGATGAGATAATGACAATAATAATCATAATCATAATATGTATGATGAGATTATACCGGTGTTACAACAAAATCTGTCTCTCTCGTCATATAATGCAACCACAGTGTCTGCTGTAACCGCGTCCCCTAACCAGTCCGCTATCTACTTACCCTAACTTTACTGGATTCATACCTAAACCTAAATAAGTATATGGTGAGAAACATGTAGCGCCTCCTTGGGTGACAATGTATGACGGGTCACAGATTTTGTTGCAACACCTGTATAACCCCAATATCTCATCTAAAAATGACCAAATACCAACAGGTGTGTGAAACAAAGAATCTGTTCTGACTATTAATTTGTTAGCTTTCATGTTGTATAAACTAATGTGTTAGATTTTGATTGGATTATGTCTCTGTTTTAGATTAATGTGAGATTGGTAGAAGAGGAAGATGATTAGAAGACTTATAGAAAGAAGATTGATGGAGATTAATGAAAAGCGGAGGAAAATAGTAACATTAATGTAAAGCTCGGTTTAAGAGAAGGAAGAAAAATCTACTTAAAAAGAGTAAAACAGAGAACAGGCAGAAGTCAGAAGAGAGATAGAAAGAAAAGAAGATGGAGAGGGAGAAGACAGAGAAGACTGAAAGACCAGATGGCAAAAATAAACACTATCAAACAATTAATTTTATTAATCTTAGGGAGAGGCACATTCTTGGATTTTACACTTGATTTTTGATGTTTAAATGTTAATAAATATATAAAAATGGAAGAAAGAAATCTATAGTACAAAAATATAAATCCAGAAATAACATGCTGGGAACTCAGGAATAAAAAATTTGAGATTTAGGAGAATATATATGGAGACAGAGCAATGAATGGATTATTAGTTAATAGGGAGCAGGTGTGGACAGGAGCAGCTAGAAAGGAGCTAAGGGGATAGGAAAGGGGCACTAGGGGGCAACAAAGAGTAACCACGAAAAAGGGGTTTAAGTGTAAGAACTTAAATGAGGTTAAAGGGGAATAAAAATAATGACTACAAAATAATGAATAACCAAGGGGGGAACTAGAGGATAAGAGAATGAACTGGAGATAACTGAAGCCATTGAAAAGAGATGACAAGGAAGAGTAAAGCTAAGAATTTAAACATGATATAAATCTTGAAAATACAGAATAACATAAAATAAAGCATTACTGAGAACCTAGACTGAATACTTACACAGAACCAAAGATTCCAGATCATGACAGACAGCAACTGTTAAAAGTTGCAGTCATTATTTCTTTGCACAGCTCTTTAAAAAGGTGATGCAACAAAAACGAAAAAAAAAATTTCATACATGTATCTCAATTTAAAAGGTTTTAAGCAAACTTTCAATCCTTTTTCTTCTGCGTGGTTCTAGAATAAACAGCCAGTGTTCAATAAGTCTTTCCTGAACAATCTAACCTGTCTATCCTCAGAGATCTTACGGCTCTGGAAGGAATGATGAAACATCACCAGGATTTAAAAGCCAAAATAGATGGCCGCAGCAAGACCATCCTACAGTGTGCTGACCTCGGCAAGATTTTGATAGCTGCAGGCAATCCTGCATCGGAGGAGGTTGGGCAAGCAAAGCAACCTTTCCTGGCAAACATTGAACAGCTTACAGTTGAAACAGCATTGCAAAAATCATAATTGCTCTAAACTATTTTAAACTGTCACAACAGATACAAGAGAAATTGGACAGTCTTCTAACTAAGCAGAAGGACCTTGTTGAAAAATGGGACAAACACCAGGAAAGGTTACTACACAGTAAGTACAAAGACTCAGATTAACTTTGACCATGACCAAAATAACAATGTAATTTACTGTGTTCTAAGTGTGTCAAATAAAAAAAAATCTCACATTTATGTTTAACGTGAGTTTAATTAAAGGACCATCATTTTAGCAGTTATTTATATCAGGATAACAGCTTGTAATGCAAAGGTTTACAGCTTAAATAAAAATGGACAGTAATTGTGCCTTTGTGTACCGTCACTTCCAGAGCAGGAAAACTTCCAGTTTGCCCAGGAGACAGTAAAGGCAGAAGCCTGGCTGAAAGCCAAGGAGCCCCTGATCAGCTCCAAGCAGCAAGAGGGAGGAGAGGCCCAGGCGCAGACAGATGAGGTCGAGCAGCTCATACTTCGCCATGAGGCGTTCCGCAAGGCTGCTGTAACCTGGAAAGAACGCTTCAGCTCCCTCCGCCAGCTCTCCGCAGTAAGCTTTACTATAGATGAAAGTTGGATCATGTTTGGTGTGGCCACTGTTCAATTATGCTACATGGGATGATGTGTTTGCACAAGCTATCAGTCGCATCATTAAATGCATCATGTGATAAATGCATGTCTTAGATCTTCTCAATCTGCATTTTATATTACTTTGATTTGGATTTAAAAAACACAATTAAGTTAAAAAAAAAAAAGAAAGAAACAGATGGATCCCAGTTAAGGGGATCACAGAGCAGGTAAAGTTTTTTAAAAGATCAAACCGATACACAGTTTTATAGATTAATTAGAAACAAGATGCAGGTATTTGTTGCATTTATTTCTCTGAATTTAGATAATTATGGCCTTATAATTCATGAAAACTATTAATTGCTTTCTTCTGATTGCCAAGGTGTACACCATCACACGAATTGTTGACATGAAAGGGGTTCAGCAAACGGACTCTCTTATCAAGGACGGTTAAACACTAAGCCAACCTCACTGCATCCATGATAATAAATTCCCAAATCATATCTGTCAAGCTCAGGGCTAAATCCAGCCAACCATGGCAATTCATCAGGCTCTCCACAGTCAAATAGGTATATGATGTCATAACATAGAGGTATAGTTTCATTTAAAATGTACAAAGTGTTTAAAGTTAAAAACAAATGGCAGTAAGCAGAGGAATGCTTATACGGATCCTGGTTCTGGTTTTGCTGGAGGTTTCTTCCTGTTCAAAGGGATTTTTCCTCTCCACTGTCGCTACAAGCATGCTTGGTGTGAGGGATTGCTAAAGAGTCAATAAAAAAATGTCAGTGAAGGTTGTCACTGCAAGCTCTTCCAGGAGGAGCGGGTCTTCCAAATCAATGACTGGACGCGATCTGCTGGTTTTCCTAACCAATCTCACAGTGTTCTCTCTGTAAGGAGCCCTGAGATTAAATGAGTTGTGAATTGGTGCTATGTAAACAAACTGAACTGAGTAGTAAAGTTGTAGTACCACAGCAGGGCACTCCTAAATGAGGAAATCAAAATTTTCATCCCTTTAAAAAACAGAAACAAAATTATAAATCGTCTGAATATAAAATGATTTTGACCCCCCTGGCTGGGGGCATGCTACACTAACTTAACATTAGGCTAACCTTAACCACTCAGACATGGAAGGTTTTCCCTATAGTAATATCGTATCTATAGTACCTCATACTGTTGCTCTTAAACAAAATGTATTCTTTTGTTTTTTCTTATGTGTGTACAGATTGATTTATTGATCCATTCTTCGATCAATCGAGTGACTGGGGGCTTATTGACCTCAGTTAGTCAGTTCCAGACTCCCAAAGAGTTTTTATTTTATAGATAGAACCCCAGTTTTCAGAGCCTGATCCCCTTCATTCATTGATGCAGTAATTCATAAATATGCTCAGCGCATATATTGTAGATCACATGAACACATTTAAGTAGTTTATATTTTTGCTTTAAACATCTTTTATAATAATGATGTATGCTAACTTAAGGTTGGACCAGATGCTGGTTTTTTCATAAGCCATTAACATTAAACAGAACATTGATTAGTATTTCTAAAATCATTTGTTTTTCAATTATATTGTAATTTATTGATATGCGACTTGATGTCATTGATATTTTTTATAGGCTGAGAAGAAAAGGGAGGAGGAAAAAAAGACGACCCCTCTCTCCAGTCGAAGAATGTTCCCGTTATCATGTCTGACTCCCAGCGTTCCTTCAACCAGTGCTACTTCTTCCTACTTGAGGCAGACAATACAGGCTCAAATAGAACCCCAACCCTTCCAAACCAGCTTAGATCTGGGTAGCAGTTCTACAACCCAGAGATTATCTTCAGCGTTCGCTAGCTATAGCACAGCTATTAATGGCTCAGGATACCACGGACTTGAGCAGCCATGTGTTGGGAAAGTAGGAAGCACCTTGTACTTTGGAATGAACCAACAGGCAGCTGGAGCTGGAAGTGACTCTGGTTTGTCAGCATCCCAGAGCGGAGGTGCAGACACCTCTACGTACCATGGAGTAAACCACCAAACTGCTGGTAGTGCAGAGAGTTCTGGATACTTTGGAGTGACGACAGGATGTTTGGGCGGTTTGCAAAACCATCTAAAACCAGGTGGTGCTAAATTAGAAAGTTCAGGGAATATAGCTCAGCAGCCAAGCAGTGGGGGAATGATGAGCCCAAGCTTCTTGCCTCAACAAAATATGGGCAGTTCTGGATATTTGCCTCAACCACAGAATTTGGGAAGTTCAGGATATCTTGGACAGCAGTCTAATATGGGAAGCTCTGGGTATTTGGCACAACAGCATATTACAGGAAGCTCTGGGTATTTGGCACAACAGCCTAATTTGGGTAGTTCAGGATACCTAGCACAGAATTACCAGAGTAGTGCTGGATTGGGAAGCTCTGGCTTTTTGGCACAAAATCATTATAGCAGTGGAAGTCTGGGCAGCTCTAGTTTCCTGGCCCAAAGTGGAGGAATTATGGATCCTAAAATGGCATATGCATGGCAGCACCTGAAAGCTGACTTCATGCAGCCAAGGATCAACCACATCCACAAAGCTATAAATCCTCTCCTGGAAGCCAGCAGACTGCAGCGTGAACAGTTTGGAGATATCCCTATGGCAGACATGGTGGGGCCAGAATCAGGACTGGAGCTTCTCCATGGTCGTCTCCAGAGGGATCCCCGCGGAAGTCGTTCAGACCCACAGATGGACCATCTGAGGCGGGAAAGGGAGTACAAGCTGGGAAGACAAACCTCTAGCGAGCAGGAAATCCAGGCAAGGCTGAACGAACTCCCACTGATAGTGCGGCAGGAACGATACAGGAGGCGCATGGAGCGGCAGTCATCCAGCGAACAAGAGGGGAGCAACAAGCAGAGGCTACAGAGGCAGGACTCAAGTGATTTGGAGGGCTCTGTGAAGGACGGCTCTGACAAACGCTCAGGGTACGCAAGTTTGTTCCACTGGTGACAGCAAAATCCAGCACTGTTTAACATGAACCAGGTACCTCTTTAGGACCCTATATATTGGGGAGGGGCTTTGCCCCAGCTAAGATGCTTCAGTGCTTGAGCAAAACAATTTTAGTTTAAGGGCCCTAAGCAAATAGATTTTGCCCGTTTGAAGTTTACTTTGGTTATAAAAGCGTCTATATATTATAGAATAGGCTTATTGTAGTAACTTAATATCACATAATAATGATATAAAATGCATTACAAATGAAATACAGAGAACATGAACGAAAAACTTCAATATGCAGCAAATTCCAGAGACAAATTTAGATTTTCACAACAGTTAGATTGTCTCAAATGAATAAAATTATTTTAATGTTCATTTGACCTGCCAGGCAATAAATTTGGAAATTTTAGGGCCCGACCTGTGGTCGACCTGGAAGCTCTCCTGGGTTTCACTTTGGCCCGACATGTTAGCCGCCTACTCTCAAGGGATCTGTCAGCCCAGTTCCTGTACTGATATGGTCCCCACTGCCACCAGCAGAGCAGCTCTCAGGCTAGTGACAGGCAGCATGCATGCAGAGCAGGGTCCTAGTGCCCCTGATTTACGTGTCTTATTGAACAGGGGTAAATGCTGCAATGTTAAGGTTAGCTGGTTTGAAGGGTTTCAGCCGCCCCTAAATAGGCCTAAACATTTCCAGGAAATGGTCCAAAAGAAAGTTTAAGTTCTATATGATTGTGTTTTACCTTAAATGTGACAGTTTTGTTGTCCCTGCAGGGAGAAGAGGTCTACCATGGCAGAAATTGTGGAACAAGCCCAAGACAGAGAGGCAGCACATGTATGTTACCTTGGAAGCATTTTCTCACAATTACAGTGCCTTTCAAAAATATTCAGCCCCTTTAACTTTTCAACCTTTGCCTTTGCCACATTTCAGGCTTCAAACATACAGATATACAACTATTATTTTTTGTGAAGAAAAAAAGAACGAATAGGATACGATCATGAAGTGGTACAAAATTTATTGGATATTTTAAACAAATAAACAAAATTTTAGACAAATTATAAACTGATTAGTGGGGGTGTAAAATAAATTGTGCTCCTTTACTTTCACTGCAACAAACTCTCTTCAGAAGTTCAGTGAGGATCTCTGATTGATCCAATGTTGACCTCAATAACTGATGATCAATAGAATCCACCTGAGTGGAATCAGGCCTCCTGCTCTGTGATCGTTTCATAGGTCTGATTAAAGCGCAGAGAACATCATGAAGAACAAGAAACACACGAGGCAGCTCCCAGATGCTGCTGTGGAGAAGTTTAAAGCTGGATTTGGATACAAAAAGATTTCCCAGCTTTAAACATCCCAAGTAACACTGAGCAGAGATAATATTGGAATGTAAGGAGAATCCGACCACTGGGATGAAGACCTACGAAGACCCGCTGTCCCTCTCAACTTTCAGACTGAACAGAGATGCAGCCCAGAGGCCCATGATCCCTCTGGATGAACTGCACAGATCTACAGTTGAGGATGGAGACTCTGTCCATGGGACAACAATCGGTCATATGCTGCACACATCTGACCTTTATGGAAGAAAGACATTCCTGAAAGATATCCATGAAAAATGCAAAAGACTATGTTTGGTGATTCCAAACTGTTTAGGGTTGGTAACAGAGGGGGTGTACTCAGATTTTCAGCTTTCAAAAACCTACAATGCATCAATTTAGTTGATCTTTTCCTCGCCTATTCAGCCAGGCCAGCAATTCCCTTTAACGACATAGACAAGTATGGGGCTTTGCAGGCTAACAAAAAAAGCCAAACAACCCCCATTCCAAGGGTGGACCGTTTCGTCCGTTTCAATTTGCATGCTAAACCAAACCAAGGGCTTGTTGGGCTACTGTATATAACCTCGAAGCCCCTGCTTCTCCTCAGGAGGGAAAATGGTTAAAATTGATGGGAAGATGGATGGAGAAAAACACAGGATCATTGTGGAAGAAAACCTGATGGAGTCTGCAGAAGACCTGAGACCTGGACAGAGATTTATCTTCCAACAAGACGGTGATCCAAAACAGAAAGCAGCATCTAGAATCGAACGGTTCACAAAGAAACACATCCAGGTGTTAGAATGGCCTAGTCAAAGTCCAGACCTGAATACAATGGATATTCTGTGGGAAGAACCTGAAAGCTGCTGTTCACAAACTCTCATCTGACACCTCTAAACTCGAGCTGTTTGCTGGAAGAACGGAAAAACATTTCCGTCTCTCTGTGAGCAGAACTGATAGAGACAAACCCGAAGGAACCTGCAGCTATAATGACAGCAAAAAGGTGGTTCTACAAAGTATTACCTCAATGGGGCTGAATAATTTTGCAAGGTGCCGTATTTGTTGATCTTCAGAAATTGCTGTATCATCTAACGTTCCTTTTATTGGCTCTGTTAGGCCCGTGGAGAACCGTATCGTCCTCCCAGCAGTCTCTCAGCACCTGTGACTCGGTTTGATGGACGCCCACGTGCCCGGGACCGTCCCAAACCAAGGAGGCGGCCCCGTCCCAAAGAGCCTGAGACCACTCGTCGTTCTCGCTCAGCCCCAGCAACCGGTGCCCCCACCACCCCTCAGCCTCCATCACACACTGCCCAGAATGAAGGCTTCCTCTACTGTAAAAAGGCCACAAGTAGCGACCTGGAAGCTCAACAGAGGAGTCCCAACAGGTGCAACCTAATAAACCACCCAAAAGACAATACATTTTAAGGGCTTATGCAGAGCTAGCTTATCTTCCCTCAAATAAGTTTAGGATTCCTATGCATTGAAACAATTTGCCTGACTTGAGTCAAATCTTTTATTCGATCTTTAATTGGGAGTACCGTATACTCTAAATTCTAGCTGTATTCTGCCAATTAGCTGTCTAAAGCTGCAGGCATAAATAATGTCTCCATCTAAAAGTGTATTTTATTGGGAACAATATTTTTTAGATAACATTCACATATTGATAAATTACACGATATTAGCATAGATTTATGGGCATCTGTTTTTTTCATAACTTGAAATTCACGGTTAAAGCAGAGTCCAACCGACAAGTGCAGAAATAGTGACACCGATAAGAATTCTTTTTAACGCTTTCACAGCATTTCTGTCTGTTTTAGAGTTTCAGCTCTCATCAGTAGGTTTTCATTGTATGCCAAGAAATGCAGTCATGGCAACAGTTACCTGTAGATCCTTTATTTATTTTTTTTCATACCAGTTCACATTTACATGATTGTAGTACATTATTTCTTCAGGTCCCAGTTCAACATTAAGAAAAGCAGATATAATGCAGCTCAGGGTCAGCAGTCTGTTTTTGAGCTTCTATTTTCCAACATTATTACTTCTTGACATAAAACTCGTGGCTAACTGTGGCTAACCCTATGAGTCCAAAGAAGTTTTATGCCCTCGGTAGTTGAGGACAGTCCAATGCATTATTTTGATTTCACCTTGAAAAACTAAATCATGGTTTGTTTTTAAAATAGGATTTTAAATTTATTTCTTAGTCATTATCATTAAATCAGGTTTTACCTTAATCTGACTTGTGACAGTGTAATCACAATAAAAAAGCTAAAGAAAAAAAAACAGTTCCTGGTGTGGTGGCAAGTAAACCCTGGCACACTGAAATGCCCGTTGACTCAACAGACGATGATTAGCCCTGAAAATGTTTTCATAGGTTTTGCTTTAAGGCAGTGCAGCCAGAGTTCAGCTGCAATTGCACTAACTGAGCAAATACACTAGGAATCAAAACAGGACATAGTCATAAAAAGGCCTCAACATAATCCCAGTTAGACAACATCCAGAGCTGTTATTACAAACTGCATGACAGTTAAGAGATTAACCTTTCAATTGTTTTTAACTCACATCAAAGGTTATTTCCAAATCAGTCTAAATGAAAAAATTTCTACAAAAATAATTAGATCATAACAAGTAACCGTTTAAGAAGTTAAGAAGTGAGTGCTGCAAATCTTGCTAGTTGTAGTTGCTTATTGTTGCTCTCTTCACAGCAGTCACCCATGTCTCTTCTTAATTAGCGTAGATCTGTGTGATTGGCTGTTGTCAGCTGTACATCATCTTTACAGCATTCTGTGTTTCCAAAAAGCTTTGGCCCAAAAAGCTTCTGCAGTGAGCATCTGAGAGCATATATGAGTTTAGGGCACATGTTTCTGTTAACTGGGGGAGATATTGTGGACGGCTGTATAAGAATAAGATTTTAACCAATGAGCTTTACACTGCAGTCAGTCATTTATCCATTCACTCACACGCTGATGGTGTGGAGCTTCGCTGTGACCAAAGCTGTCCTGGGGCTTGCTGACACTGATCTATGATCATTGTTCTATATTTTATGTCCTAATGCTGCTCATGCTTCTATAAAACCATTGAGTGACAGAAACAACGCTTAGTGATTTGGTAGCTGTTTGTTTTTTTCAACTATAGTTTATTTTCCTTAAATTTAGACATGTTGCAAAGTTTTAACCTGTTAAATGCCATGTCTCGTCAAGGACAGCTGTGCTACGTCACACTGCCACAGTAAGGCTACTGTCGACCATTACAATACTTTCTAATGGCAGGCTAGATTGTCCCAGGGGTTAAAGAACAGCAGTTGATTTAATTTATGCTTTTTAGGGCATATCTGCTGCTTTTTGTGTGGCCAGTTACAGGCTGAAGATCCTTCTAATTTCTCTTGTGTGATTTTGCAGCAAATCCTGGGTAAACGTATACTGTGTGCTGAAAGAGGGAAAGTTGACTTTCTATAAGGATGCTAGGAACCATACTACAACATACAATGGAGAGCCTCCTGTTGACCTGAGTGAGTGCTCATTCGATCCGTCAATGGGCTACAAGAAGAAGAAAAACGTCTTCATACTCCAGTAAGACCTATTCCACGGTAGAAGAACTTTGATGCATCATTTAGGTTTTATTTTTAGAACATGTCGACTTTACTCATTCCAAAAAACTGTTTCACTGAACGCAAACTGTTATATTGATTGATAAAAGCACATAGAGTACACAAAGTAAAACCTTACATCAACTCTGTATTCTTTTTTTTACAGAGTAAAAGATGGAACCAACTTTGTATTCCATGCTAAAGATGAGGTAAGAACCTTTATTACATCCATCTCAAATATTCAGGTTATTTTAAAACCAATATTAATGTTTAGGTATAATCTGGTAATTTCATTTTAAATAGCTAAATAAAATTAATTCTGGGGGACGAATATCTTTCGAATAATATTTTTGTTACCTACCGTAAATCCTCTAATATTGGCCTGTTTTCCATTAGCGGCCGGGTCTCTAATAATGGCCTGGCTCGCTGTCAGCGGAGGTAAATACTGGCCGGACTCCTATACAGGCCGAGGCTATAATTAGAACCAACGAGGGAAGTCCTCAAAAACTTGTGATAGTAACATACAAGTACCACAGGGGGGGCAATGTTTGCTAAGGAATCCTAGGCATTAGCATGGGAAGTATACTCCTGCAGCAGTGTGTCGCAGTGAGCTTGATGCAGAAATTTTTGATTTATGCTTATTTTGAGCGCGGTCTGCGCTATACGCTGTAGTCTAGAAACGCCCGAGGTGGTGAGGAAGTGGGGGCGAGTTTGTCCGACAACGGAGGGACATGAGGGCCAAAAGAGCGGGGATCTAGGTGGAAAAAGGGTCACAGAGTTCTCACCCACCGCGCTCTTTTAGCTGGTCCAACTTCACGAGTTGCTTTTCGCAATTTCGGTCAGAAAACAAGCCGGCCTCCTGTCTGCTGCACTGTCTGCGGTCACCTACAATTTGGGAGAGGCGCAGTGGAGTGTCTGCGGAGGGGGCGGGGACGTCTTTTTATTCACTGCGACACCTACGACGAGGACCTAGTTTCGAGTATAAATCAGCCTTAACCAGTCCTTTACACAAAGATCGTAGTGGCCTTACACAATCGTTCTGATCTGAAAGCCAGCTGTGATTACCGGCAGGTCTGGTGGTAACCAGGCAGCGTTAAAATGGCAGAATTTCGTTGGCCTTCGTTGTTCTGAATTTCCCTTGAAATATATGATACTGGTAGCCTACTTCCACTTAGCCTGCCTCAAATAAAAATTTGCTATCTTGGCAGAACAGTTTCCATTATTTATTTTTAAACTTTGTTTCGCAAGTCAGTTTGGCCATTATTCCATTCTGTGTCTTTTTTTTTTTTTTTTTTTTGTATTGCCGTGCAGAAAATTTTCAGCTGCTGGAAGATGAATAATGTTCTGTATACCGTTATGGTAACAGTACTTTCAATAAATCAGCCTAGTATTTTATAGGTACAAAGAGACACAAAATCTCGTTTTTATTCATTCCACTGGTAGCCTGTTTTGATCAAATAGAAATAGAGGCCTGTCTCTAATTCTGGCCTCCTTCCAATAATGGCCTGGACCAAGATGTAACTGAGTGAAATAAAGGCCCCGTCCTACATTAGAGGTTTTACGGTATGTTTTTGCTTTTTTTTTTTTGTTTCCTCATAAGTTTCTATGGCAAATTTGGGTCAGGGGGAGATTTCAGACCAAAAGAGATAAGGAGAAGACAGAGGATTTTTTAAACTGGTATCCATGGGTTGTTTCTGTGGCTCAAGCTGTCTCAGCAAGTTAAAGCTACAGGACACCACCTCCACATGACCTTAACATCGGAAAAACAGTGCCGACACCAGATAACTGTGTGGGGGAGGGAAAGGAGTGTCCAGAGTTTTTATGGAGGAGTCCAATTTGACATAAAAATTTTTACCAATATTGAAATGAAGTAGTTACTGATCCCAGACTATAATGGCTAAAGATAAAAAAAATGCATCTTAAAAAATCCTTTTCATAAAAAGCAACAGCTTATTAATTAAACAATTTTAATGTTTGACAACTATCAAACCAGCTCTTTTGAAAAGTGGAAAATAAAACACAAAACAACCTCCTCAGCTGTTCTTAGATCTTAATTTTGTGTCCTGTTATCAGTAATAATACTTCACTTCTAAACACTGTATACATAAAATTAGTTTTGTTTTATTTTTATATATCTGTGAAGATCCTCAGTCATCCAGTCATTGTCCATCTTGAAAAGTCCAGTTTAGGCAACTGGAAGTGAAGTTTTTTTCGAAGATGTTTCTCCTCTCATCCAAGAGGCTTCTTCAGTTCTAACTAGTGGTGGGGAGCGCTGAGATTAATATACTGGAGGTGGAACAAATAAGGAGGGACAAAAGTTGGCTTTGATCTCTCATACTGGATTGCCCATGGTGGTCACCTGGGGGGTTAATGGTCGTTAATGGTCCTGATGGGTTGTTAAAGGTATAGGGGACGTTTTTTTATTTCTGGGTGGATCATCTAAATAAGTGGTCCTCCTAATTGTCAATCATTCTGGTGATATGTTTACGTAAGGCCGTCCTATATGCTCCCCCTGTTAGCTATCCGTTTCTGCACATGCGCACCTTCAGGTGTATATCTGTGGTGAGCTACGGTTTCAGGCAGTCATCGAAGCTCACCTTTCTCACCACGGTTCTTTGAAAATGGCAGAGGGTCGTAAGAGAAAAAAAGTCTATAAAGTGTATGAGAAGAAGAGGAAGGCCTCCGAAGAGGCAGATATATCCCAGAATGCTTTGCGCAGAAAGCTCTCTTCGCAAAGCATTATGGGATTTGCTGTCAAAGCAGCCCGCTGTTGCCATACGCTGTTACTACCCGACAGCGGCGACTAATTAAAGATGGTGCAGGCACCATGCGGAGGAGGATGAGTCACATGACCAACGGAGCAAAAAACAGTGATCATCTGTCCTGATGGTCAGCTAACTGAGTTTGCTATAAAGGACACAGTAAGCTTATATGAGCTACGAGAACAGCACATTTTAAACAAGGCATGCACGAGGAGAAATGCTCTTGCACATGCATTTTTTTCAAGTGGAGAGGGTGGGTCTTTTAAAAAATCCTCCACAATACCTTTAACTCCCTCGTCAGAGTGGTTTCAGTCACATGCCTCATTGAAGTGTGTGTCAGGTGAAAGTGGGTGAGAGGTGAATCTTCTGTGGATTGTTCGTAAAAGTGCTTTGGAAGTAGGTGAAAGGTTATGTCTCAGACCACCTCCTCTGTTGAGAGATGGTTTTTAAAGGTTAACAAAGACGCTTCATTAACTCCTCTCTCACACCATCTGTCTTCCTTGGCCAGAAGATGGACGTTTGTTTTATTTTTAGTAAAACTGTATCTTTGTTTAGTTTAGTACATATATATTAATATATGAAAGATGTATTGCTTAGAATCATAAAAAAATATAAAAACAAAACATTTCTATTGATTAATGGTTAATTAGCAATTAGCTTTTACTAGGGCTGGGTGATATGACCTCAAATCACTATCACGATAAATTGGGCAGTCTTACCTCGATAACGATAAATGCCCCGTCGCCTCTATCAGAGATAAAGGCATGTGCAGGAAATAAAACTGGTCTATTAATTTATTTATTGTATGAAACACATTACATATTACTTTCAATTAATTATTAACGTCTTGTACCCATTCAGGTTTAAACATTCAACAATGTTTCATCTTGCACATGTTTGAACTCTACAGAGTGGCTGTGCTGTAGGTGGTGGAGATTGGATGTTTTATTTTGGGTAGTCCCCACAGTTTTCAGACAAACTTTGCATTTCGTGTTCTTTTGCTCAACATCCATGGCATAATTTTGGTACTACCTGAGTTTGCAGTGAGAACAATGTACATCATTTAAACTTGCACACCCTTAATCAAAATCGGTCTGCCCCACGCTGAACTCTGGGAATGCGTAATCAGCTTCATCTCAGTGCATTTCTTCACTGGGCTAGTCCTCCATTTTCTTTGTTTATGCTTCTGACTGGATCAGTGGAGTCACGTCATTACAAACATGATAACGTGTCTTAATAGGGAAGGAAATACCAGCCACCAGCACACAAAGGAAAAAAAGCAGAATTAAGTTTATTAATTTTACGGACATAGGAAAATTGTCAATTCACAACATGTTATCTCAGTAGACTTTACAATTGAACCAGATCATACAGTCAAATTGATTCAAAGTTTTCTATCTATTGCATCGACTCATTGACTCTTCAGCAATCCCTCCCACTAAGCATGCTTGTAGTGACAGCGGAGAGGAAAACTCACTTTGATCAGGAAGTAACCTCGAGCAGAACCAGTCTTGGTGTGAACAGTCATCTGCTGAGGCCGACTGGGGATCAAGGAGACGGAAGCAAGCCGTTTATAAAGAAGGTGTAGTTATTGTGGCAGAAGGTTCGCAAACAAGTTTGATTGGGGCCGGTGTCTTGGAAGCATCTTGCTAACCAGTTAGCAACTTAGTGCTAGTAGGTTCCCAATGGGAAATTACACTGGGACCAAGTAGCACTATTTGGTGACTTTGAAACGACACTATCAAGGAACACTATGGACAGCAGAAACATGCAATGGGAGGAAGGTTTTGTGTCGGAGGTATAGATGAGTCTCCATCATACATTTTTTATTTAGAGGAGGAAAGTGGGGGCGAAGAAGTTGTGGAAGAGGACGTCTGGGCAGCAGAAGCTTTGTTTGATGTAGAAGGCTTACAGCCGTACATCTTTGAGCCCTTGCCTCACGCTGCAAGTTCTGTTAGATCTATGCCTGCCGAAGACACAGACGTCCATCCAGGTTTAATTAAAGCAACCCTCAAAACCTTTGGTACATATCCCTGAATGTTCAACTGGATCAAAGCAGTCTAAACCCGGCTCAGATTCTATGGCTACCTCAGATGCTGCCTCACCTTCCAGAGATAAACCAATCATAGTTAGAGGAGTGCTAATGATCTTATTTTTAATAGAAACAATCTTATTTACCAAGAATCTCTAAGCTGCTGAGAGCAGGTGGGATGGATGGTTCAACAGAGCTATGGCTCTGGGTGAGTTTGGCAACTGTATTAAAAAGATATCTAGGATTAATCTTATTCTCCTCTATTAATAAGGAGAAATATACCGCTCTTGCTTTATGAAGGGGCCTCTTATGCAGCAGTAACATATTTTTCCAGACAGGTAGGATTCCCGTAGGCATATAGAGCGCCATTTTCTCTCCAGTTTGCAGTGTGCTGCTCTGCATTAAACCAGGAAGCCAGCTTTCTAGTTTTAAAGTTTTTCTTTAGCGCTGTTTCTGGTTCTCCTTCCTGTGCGCAATAACCAGGTTCTTCTCTCTGTTCCATGCTTGTTCTGAAATATGTTGCCTGTATGTAGGATTTTTGTAGAGCTGCCAGCCTGCCCCCTCTCAAGTTGCGCTGCATTTGCGACAATATTTTTTACGACTCGTAGTCAGGCTATGATAGAACAGATGAATAATCATCTCCCTGTCACTTGTCGATAGTTCTTCCACATCAGTTGATTAACACGCAGCTTGTAATCTGACCAATCAAATTCCAAAGCCGTTTTCGTGGGGTACTGCCCTTCCGCTGTTGTTAGGAGACAATAACTGCGTTTCCATGACAATGGATTTAGCTAATTTACTTTGGAAACCCAGCTACAGAGAGTGGCATAGAGATGCCAGCATTATAATCTAGCTATACCGTAGATACATGGAACAAAATGGAGAGCAGAAGTAGGATTGGTTAACAAGTTATGATTTCCTAAACAGAAAGCTCAGGAGCAGGAGTGTATATGAAAGAGCAACTTCAAAACATCCATTGCAAATGTTTCAATGGGCCTTTTACTTTATAATCATATCAGACTGTTTTCATTTTCTAGCATTCAAGAATTTTAGGGTTAAACTGAGTTTTTTTTTCCTCCACCAAATCATATCAGTTTGGTTACGCCTCTTCTTATACCCTGAGGAACAGATCTCAGACTACAAATCTCAGAAATATGATCAATTGTTTTATGCTGTTTTTCTGAAGGAGGACCTGAAGGCGTGGACGTCAAATATCACCACAAGTATTGCTGAGCATGAGGCCATGGCCAAGTGGGACAAGCCTGGCCCCTCGTCCATGGACCCTGACCGCTCAGAGAGGAAGGAGAAGTCAGAGGGCGACGCAGATGCCAGGTCAGAGAGGTCTGAGCTGATGGAGGGGGAGGAGAGGTCAGAGAAGGAGAGGTCAGAGAAGGCTGAGGGTTCAGAAAAGTTAGACACATCTGAAATTGCTGACAAGTTGGAAGGTGGCGCAGGGGGCTCCAGCACATCTGGGAGAAGCAAATGAGGTAGTAGTTTTATTTTCATGTTATTGTTAAATATCACTGATGAAAGGCGAATAAGGGGGAGGGGGGGCGGGGGTGTTAGATGGCAAGCATGTTTGCTGGACCACCATCACTGAGGCCATGGTACCCGGACTGACTGCTCTTACTGTGACTAACTGATCTCTCAGCCTTCACCTGGGCCAAACATCCGTGCATCCGTGCATAGCGCCACCTGCTGGTTGATACAGAGATCAGTCCAGAGAGACAGACAGACTCAAACAATTGGTCCCAGGAATCAGTCACTGTCACTTTCCATTTCCGATTGTTTGATCTAATGATTCACGGCATCTTTCTGTATGTACCTTTTGAAATGTAATGCTCTGTCTAACGAGACAAATACAAGAAAAGTTGAATGAAATGTTTCACAAAAAAACTTTTTTTCAGCAATATACTTTGTTTTTTTCTTTTTCCTCTTTGTCAGAAAGAAGGGGGTATTAAACAAAAGGTAATTTAAGAAATAAACGTCAGGTTTTGTCACTTTTTCCCAGCGGTTGACACATCTGTATAGTAAACATGACATTATTCCTGTCACATGGCTAGCTTTGAATCATGTTCATATATTGGAATGCTGGTATCACCACCTTACTTCAGTGGAGTCAATGAAAACACATTTCTAAAGTTACATTTTGGTTCTTATTATGGCTATTATTAAACTTGTTTGCCCATTTTTATGTGTCAAGAAAGAAATAATTAAAAAAAATCAACCCAAGGTGTGTAACACTAAGCCTATGTGAAAATGACAAACTTGGAACATTGCATGAAATGGTCTGTTACTGCACCTGTTCAACTTGCCTTTGTTTTTCTTATCTTGACACAAAATGAGCAATGTGGGAGTTGCAATAATTTAAAGTGAGCTTTGTTAGAAGGGAAAGAGGTTGAGATTAGTTCCAAAAGCAGGGTTTGTCTTTGGTTTTTGGAATGTGGAAGCAGCAGCTTTCCAAACCCAAAGAAGCTCCTCATCTGTCTATAATGTCTCTGCAGAATGTACTGATATCAGCTTTGAAATGTTCAGGCACACCAGACAGGTGTGTGATGCCCTAAATTGTAAAACTCTGGAGCCGAGATCTTTGTCCCACATCCTTTCATTCAGAGTTCAAATCAACTGAATCCTCTTCACCAAAAGCAAACTCACTGGATTGTATATACCTAACTTTGTATGTAAACCACTGTGCTCTAAATAAAACCATTCTGAGCTCATAACTGAAGTGGGTAAAACCTAAGCATTTATTTTAAGCTACAAACAGAAACATGTATTGATGTTTATCACAATAAAGGAGAAATATGCAAATTAGGATTTACTATTAATGATCATAGAGTGTATATATTAATACACCTGTTCAGTATCTAGATCTATTCAAATAAATGAGCAGGGAGGAGGCAGGCAGACATCCTGTGGGTATGATTCTTGTATTTTTTTATGCTTATATTTCTTCATGTCAGATTCAGGAGTTTTGTGTTTAAGAACATTAGGTTGATTTAGGCGGCTGAGTGCTCAGTGTGTCTGTGACAGAAGAACTAAATGTATGTTAGAAACCTAACCAGCCTGCTCCAGGTGGAATGAGCTATGGTAAACTGTGAAAGCTGAGATGAACAGGTATCGGTCCACTTCTGTTTTGTTATGTGAGATTTTTTTACACATGTGATACAAATAAAGTTTCTGCAATGTCAATGAATGTGGTTTGAATTGCAGTATTAAAGAAAAAGCTCCACCTCCACTGTGCATCAGCAGCCAGCAGCTTGTTTCCCATCCTGTCTAACTCACCTCTCCTGTTTGAAAATGGCTTCTAAAGAGTATATGAGAGATGCAGCTCTGCTTGAACCCGCTGCCTCCAGGATTGTGGTGTGTCTCTCCACACTGCTGTCATTTTGACAAGGATGATAATCAAATGCTTTCATTTGTAATCTATTGTTCAGTTTTTACATAAGTGCCATGTCATGCTGTCTCCTCTGACAGTGATTGAACAGAGATCAATCTAGTCCACTGGAAATATGACCGAGAATCATTGCAAAACATATTTTTAACAGATTTAGGAACAGCAGTATTTCCTGTGTATTTGTGGTAAATATTAAGCCCACATAAACATGTGCGCTTTATGTGTTTGCTTTCCACTACTTTTAAAACACCGGGGATATTTACCACTACGTTAAAACAGAGAGCCTAAAGTAGATAAACCATGGATGAGTACAGAATTGTGCAAACTTTGTTGACTTCATTGATGGTCTTAAAGTGTGTATGTCTTTGTTACTTCCCAATAAAACCTGCTGCTATGACATTAAATAAACCTCCAAACTTGCTAAGACAAACTTGATGTGGAATTAATGTAGAAACCTGGAGCTTTCTCACACACACACACACACACCCACACACCCCCACACACACATTCTGCTATATCTAGTGAGGACCATGTGTTGACTCCCATTGACTTCCATTGATTTTCAATCATTTTAGACCCTTTCTAAGCCCTAACCCTTAAACTAACCCTAAATGTACCTATTAGCAAAATAGTTTGTCAGGACCAGCAAAATGTCCTCATTCTACAACAACTGGTCCTCATCGGGACGGTGAAATTGGAACACACACACACACATAGTGCTTAGTGCATTCCTTTGATTTTGTTTCAAGCAGTAAATCTGTATCACTCAATTTTTTTGGCTCATTAATGAAGATTTTGCTACTTTTGTCAGAGATATTCCTAAAACACAGAATAGCAGGGACATAAAATAGATATTAAAATTATAAGAATAAAATAATCAGTTTTTAAGAGCTTCAATACAGGAATATTTATATAAAACTACTAGACGATAAGATGATTATTTAAAACATGTGTAATATATTAAATATTGTTATTAACAGGGATCCAAATAGATTAATTATCCACAATATGTGATTATAACTTATATGTCTGCACTGCTCAAAAATTCATAAAGTATTTCATAAATGTTGGCCTAAAAGTGTCTGAAACTGAGAGCTTCAATGAGGTACAACTAAAAATGCAAACTCAAAGGGAGTTTAAAGTCATTTTATATAAAATATGTTTATATAAAATTCTTAGGTGTGGTTATTGATTGCAAAAAAATATCCTGGAAAAAAAAAGATCAGACCAAACTAGAAGCCTAAAAACTCTTAGTTAAGCTTTTTCCAAATGTGCAGAATAACACATTCTATACTGGCTTTACAGTAGCTGGGCTATAGTGCTGATGTCTGGGCTAAAACCTGCAGGATGTCACTCAAAACAATAATAATCTGCAGAAGGAGCAATTAGTGTAACTGCTAGCTTAATCTCTAATCTGGTAGCATTTTAAACTTCACATTTAATGTATAAAGTTATAGAAATAAACATTTAGCAAACACCATAGAAAAACTGAGGGAACAAAGGGCCCAAAAACTAGAGGGAACAAGTAAAACACAATGGGCTTCATGCAACAACAGTTTCATATTCTTGTTGTAAATTTCTCTTACTTTTTCTCCTACAGTTGGTTTTTATGGAGTTATCTTTGTATTTTCATTAAATAAATAAAAAAAAGATTACCACTCAGCTCATGTCTATTGAGACTGGCAAATAGGAACACATGACAAGTTTCTCACATTGAGAGAGAAATCTGTTTTTGTTTTCACTCTGAATGCAAAAAAAAAAATGTCAAATGTCAATTTAGCTTTTAGTCATCAAAACTATCAAATAACATCATTTTTTTCCCATTGGTGTGACATTCTTTCCTCTCCAATATATTTATTACTTTTAGAATTATTTTCACCTTTCAGATCACTTTTTCTTGAATTTAATAAAAACAGAAAGAGGGGTTGAGGCGGGGGACACCTACCCTTCACCCGGGGTCTTTCACATCTCTGTCCTCTCCGCTCCGCCTGGAGCCCTTGGTAGATGGGATACAATGACTGTACCCTGATGCATCTCAGCTTGTTCTTTGGGTCTGCCTTGCTGGCACTCGGCCTATGCATGCAGTCAGGTGGGGCATGCTGGGGGGTGTCTGGCCCCCGGGCACCTAAAGGGGTGGACTACCTGGGTTGGGATTGTCTAGCAGCCATGGGCATGAGAGGACCATGGAGATGTGGAAGGGCTGTGGCCAGCGCTGTTTGGGGGGGTTGCCCTTCCTGGGGGTGGGCCTGGGTGTTGCTTGGGGGTGGTCTTGGGCTGAACTGCTGCTTTCCTTACTATTGTGGCACCCAGTCCCTGCCCCTCTTTTTTCTTGCCTGCCTCCTTCCCACTCTGGGGGGGGTAAGGGGATCTCTCCCCCATGGATTGGCCCTCAGACCCGGGAGGATAGTGTATGTATGAGAACTTTAAGAATATGTTTAGTGTCTGCCTCTTTGTGCGTCTTTGTTGAGTGGTTGTATTGTCCATTTTGGTTTAAGGGGGCATTGTCTGAATGTGACTGGCTGAATGTCAGTTTGTTTCTCTTTACTTGTCAGGTTTGGTGTTTTCCTCCCCCACCCCACCCACTGAACATCCGAGGCCCAAGTATGAGCAGGGTCTTCCTCCTTCCTCTTCTTACTGTATGCCCTCAACCAGTGACAGGTTCCTGTGTCTGCTGGTGCACTGACAGTTCTCTAGGTAGGGGTTTAGGTACTTCAGTGGGCGCTGTCTCATTCCTGGCCAGGCCTGGCAGCCACCACTAAGGGGTGGTAGGCCCCTGGACTATGCAGCCTTGGGCTCTCATCTAGATCCAACTTGGGCGTGACCAGCTACAGGTGGAGCCAATGGCCTCACTGCCGCAGCCCCGTGGGACCTCTACACAAGGGTTGGGCCCCTCAGGGACTGGGCTCCTTTAGCGTTTGGCCCCTCAGGGGGTCAGGCTCCGGATGCTCTCGTCTGGCCTTCTCTGGTGGGCGTGGCCATCCCTATGTTTGCCCTCCTTGTGCCCCAGTGATCTGCTTTGCCTCTAGATTACGGGGCTCGTATCGCCTCTTTTTCTGCCCTTGCCCCTGAAGGGTGAGTCTGGGGCGGCCCACACCTGCTATTAAGCTATTCCTTTCAGAAGAAGCTTTTATAAAGAAGCCTTTATACACAAGCATGTCCATGCATGCATACATACCACGGGAGTTTGGTTCCAGGTGTTCACAGATAAACACTGATACTAAATACTAAGCTGCAGCCATAGGTATATACCACCCTGATTAACATTGTGGAATATCTGTAGGTTCTGATTCACACACATAGATATATTTAAGGGATACCTGCTGCTATAGGAGCTTTTTTCTATATTTACTTTGGTTGTCTGTTGTCTTCTTTTTTGCTGCTGTTCTCTGTTTTCTGTTCTTCTCGTCTCCTCCATCATTAAAAAAGATAATGATAGAAGTCCTGATTGGTGTTAACAGGCCATTATTTCTATTCCAATGGGAGCAATGCGTAGGACATACTATATATGTAGAGCATTGTGTGTGAACTTGAAAGGCAGGTTTCCCATAATGCCTGTTCGAAATACAATCAGAACACCCATTAACTTGGATACTGGACTCTGCCATCAAGATCAACCCCCCCACAACCCAAGACACTACTGAGGTCTGGTGTTAAATATATATGCTATTGGTAATAATATTGACAATAATAATGAATATTACGGAAATATTGGCTATACAAACATATACAAATGTAATTTTCAATGGAGGGTATTTCATTCAAATCAATTAATTTTATTTTCATTGCTCCAATTCACATCATGTCATCTCAGGTCACTTTACAGAGACAATTCAACCAGATCATCCTGTCAGACTGGTTCAAAGTTTTCTATCTAAAGCCAATGTCACACCTTAAAGATTTAGCCAGCGTATGCCAACGTCTGAAAAATCTGGCAAAAAATCTAGCATATGTTGGATTAGCAATAGGTAAGTTCTGTATAACATATGAGCACGCTGAAGCATGTCAACATACGGCGACTACGTTTTACAAGTAGTATGCCAGCTTATGCTAATATGTGGGTCATAAATTACAGGTAAGTTATGTGGCCCTTGACATGTAAGTTACTCATAAGTCGTGGTGTCTAGCTTATCCAAAACCTATGAGTAACTTGGGCATAACATATGCACAACCTATCCAATGCATATCGATGCATGCAGGTATATTTGATGTGTTCCAGACTCCCACTGAACATGTTTCTAACTTACACCTACTGTTTAATGGCGTATTGGAAGCTTTTTGGTATAAAAGGGGGTTCACAGGTGGTCTGTTCTCCCCCAGACTGCATGGAAAGCAGACGTTCCACAAGAAATGGAGGACCTGGCAAGGCTGAGACAGGAATACACCCTAGCTGTTCTCCTATATCTTCATGATCTCGTCAATTATTTGGCAGGCGGTAAAAAGCAGCTAAGTTAATACTGTGACTGTAAGGTTTAGATAAATCTTCTCATGCTTTTTATTAGTGTTGCACCAATGCCATTATCGGGCAAGGCCCCCCATCCAGAACTAAAATGGTGGTATCAGCGAATACCAACAAATAGGGCATCGATACCATTTTTAGAGCCAAAGGTTTATTCAACTATTGTCACATATATATACACACACACATCAATTTAAAACAGATGGTATCGTTCGATACTGCACAGCCAGGTATCGATATCAGGGCCAAAAAAAAGGCATTGGCACAACACTACTTTTTATGCAGGTTGGCGCCTACAGGCGTATTGCTGTCCCCCTCAGGACACTGGGTTGGGCATAATTTCATGGGCATTGCGCTGCTGTTCATCATGCATAAGTTAGGCTTTCATTGGACATAAGTTCTGGACTCGTTATATATACTCTATGAATATACCAAAAAATTGAAAAGTATCATAGAAAGTTCAATGTATGCCAGCGTTTTAGAAGATTCTGGGATGTTGACATATGCTGGCAAAGTCATCAAAGTGTGACAGCACTTTTAGGAAAACCAGTTGCTTGCATCGACTCATTAACTCTTCAGCAATCCCTCACATCAAGCATGCTTGTAGTGACAGTGGAGAGAAAAACTCCTTTGAACAGAAATAAACCTCCAGCAGAACCAGGCTCAGTGTCTGCTTCTTCTCCACTGTCACTACAAGCATGCTTGGTGTGAGGGTTTGCAGAAGAGTCAATGAGTCGATGCAATCAGCTGGTTTTCTTAGATTGCTTAGATAGAAAACTTTGAATTTATCTGAGTGGATTATCTGATTGGTCTGGATCTATAAAGGGACCTGAGATGACATGATGTGAATTGGAGCTATAGAAATAAACTAAATTTAATTTAATTTAATTAAAACCCCTACACATGGAGGAATCTACTTTATTTTTTAAATGGATCTTTAAAACAATTAAGTTTCATGCATGCATCAATAAAGGAAATGAGAAAGATGTGATTCTAATGACTGATTTCTTCAGTGACAAACTTTATTAACAGTGAGAGGAAAACAATGCTTGTTGATATGTTTTATATTTTATTATTGCATTTTGAATCCACAAAGTTATCATTTTCAATACAAATAGTTGGAAACACAGGATTTGTAAGAATACTGAAGCATTGCATTGGCCAGAATCTCCTTAATTGAAGTCAGAAACTGTTCCTAAGGACAAAGCTGCTTTTCAAATCTTTATAACCTGGTGTTATAAACTTCTATTCCTCTCATAAAGGCTATCTGGTATATCAAATATATAACATCACATTATGTGGAGTAACATGAACAGCATATTTCAGTCCATTAATACCAACATATGGAACTGTCGGTCAGACCTGGCAACCCAGGCCAAGGTAGCTACGGAAGCCGTCGCGTTTGCGCAACCAGGTAGCTTCCTGAAAATGGCCAGCTGGGGAAAGTTCGCCGCCCTGTTAAGGAACGTAGCGAGGAGCTCTCGACTCCTGAACACGTCCACATCATTCCGCGCTGTGGGTTCAGGTCTTCTCGGCTCTGTTATTGGAAGCGGGAGCCTCTGGTTGTACTGCCGCCATCATGCTAACAGCAGGACGCTTCCCTTCGCTGTTCTGGCAGAGGAAGAAAGAGTAAGAACACCTTCCGCAAATGCTTTTTTAGATTAAAAAAAAAAAACTTTATCGAATAAACATATATGATAACCTGTTTTAAAGACCACAATAAAGTGAATAAAAGAAGTAGACATTGCTTTTAAAGAGGTAAACACTGAGCTGTGCGAAACCAGCGCCCTCTAGCGGCATCTGCCGGGTGGTGCATAAAGTACATAAAACTGTTTTCGTTTATTGCACCTAGTGGTAAAATAAATCTTAAGTTTGAAATGGGGAGTAATTGGCTTAAAAATATCATTTTTTATTGGCATTCATGAACTTCATTAGAAACAGTAACATTCAATCAGAGGACATATTGATAGATTCCTCAGACAGGACATATCTGATCACATCTCTCCTTTTTAAAGTTGCAGGAACCTGCAGCTCCTCATCTGTCTGCCAGAAAGATCCGCTTCATCCAGTTTGCCTCAGTAATGTATGACATGGAGCCCTACATGACCCCAAGAGACTTCCTGTTCTCGGTCATGCTGGAACAAGTGGACAGTAAGGACAATTTACTGTGATTACACTCCTATTAACACTAAACAATCCTGTTAAATGTCTCTATTCTAGCTAATATCTTTTCTTAAGACTCAACGCTGTTTCTGGGGTAGCAGGAAGCTGGATGCCATGCCTCAGTGGCAAGATGCAATTTTTAAATTGCAGAGGAACTCAATTTAGGCCACTTTACATGCAATGAATTAAGACACTTACTTTCTCGCTTTATTTGTTGGTTGTTGGCTCAAAAATCATAGCATTACGAGAAATGAGCTCTAATTAACACAACAGTTAACGTCCTGCCATGATGGACTCAAACTTCCGAGGCCACTAAAACAATGAAAGCCAGCATCGTGTGATTGGTGCAGAGGAAAAAGTCTAAATAAAATCTCAAAACTGTTGGTTGAAAAAACAAAAAATCACAATTTCATTTTTTGGCTTAATTATTCAGTGTACACTGCAGGCCTGATGTTCTTAAGGATTGCTTTTATTAAATTATGACAAACTTGTTAGAACCTGCAACATGATCTTCTAAGGTAAATCTCACACATTCATGTGTGAATATACAGATCATATTCTAAGGACTAAACTCCATCACCATCTTTCTTCTGTTATGCATGCTTTTTTTTCTCTGTAGACATTCAGATATAAAGAAAAACATATATAATGATATTAATAATGCATCGTCCAGAGGTTTTCCTCTTGGTTACAGTTGCAGCCCTCTGTGGTTACTAATAGGTCCTGTGTTTGCTTTTTTCTAGGAAAGCTCCAGAAGAGAATCCTAACAGCACAGGTATGCTCACAGTCTCACCGTCTGAAAAGTAAACTTCAGCCCCTTTTCCACTCAGAAGTGCCGTTCTCCACAGAATAACCTGTATATTTACATGAACCGCATTTTGGTCCTTCAAGCTACCCGTACTTTTCTCTGCTTAGTCGGGATTTGAAAGGGGACGGGGCTGTAGGGAGCAATGATGCATGGACCATAGACCTACATATAACAGTATAGACCCCACATTGACTGCAGAAATTACAAGCGCCATCTTGGGGAGGTCGAACTGCTACCCTAACCTGCTGGTTGAAGTACAACAGAAGGAGGATGCCTCAGCACTGTGCAGCATATTACGGACATTACTGAATAAACAGCATATATATATATATATATAATCTCTTTATTGTCCCACAACGAGTAAGTTGTGGCTTTACAGCTGCAACTGATTATAGCAAAAGTGGTCACACAAATGTGGACCTTAAAAAGTGTAAAAATATAAGATTAAGTTACGGAGTTTAAAAAAAAATATTAAAAAAATACTGTTCTATGCAGTGTTTTTACATATATAAATACTGTGCATCTCAAGAATAGATAATCAATATACAACTGTGGACATTTTTAACTCCAAGAATATTTAAATGCACTGAGCCATTCGTTTGTTTTCAGCAAAGAAAAAACATAACCATGAAAATAAGTTTAATATTCAGCGAGTTTAAGATGATTAAAACTGATTCTGTTCCTGCTCAACACATTATAGAGCGGTGCTGTTGACCTTCCCAAGATGGCGTCAAAAAATAACGTCAGCTCCGTTAGGCGAAAGCGTTGAATGCTGGGTCTTGTCTGATATTGTGGCCCAATCCCAAACCGGGCCCTAACCCTAACCTGCTGTTTGCGTGGAGGGTCTGCCACATTAAGGACCGTCCCCATAGTCTGTAGGTGGGGACCATTCAGCCCTTAAATAGCGAGTCTGCATCACTTGCAGGCTCTTTGGTATTCAGAGCAGGTGTAACAGCGGCCTGGTGGCGGAGGAAACGTGTTCCTCCAAATGTAAGTTCCGCTGATTTGCTGCACCTTCGTCACACTGACAGAAAATCAAAAGTTAGTTTATGGAAAAAAACGTAATTAATTCCAAACTGGAAGATCCTCTTTGAGATAGTTTTATCTGACTGTATAGATTTGATTTAAGAAAGGGACAAATGCTTAATGTTATGTTGACCTGCGTAACGCACATGGATCCTCACTGTGTTGCCATAGCAGCAACTGCTTTCCTTGTCCGTTGGAGGGAAACACCCGTCCCATTCTCGTTTATACCCCCCTCCCTTCCATCCAGGCGCCTTCCACAGCTGAGAGTGGGACTGCTAGTGAAGGGTTAGTGTTAGGAAGGCGTTTGTGATTCAGCCTTATATTATATCTATGGGGTGGACTGTCTGGCACCATCTTTAAACCGCTGTTTTTGTTTTGTAACAGCCAACACACACACAAACGGACGTTTTTGCAACTGTGTAGTTTAATATTGTCCAATTTCTTCAATGCATGATGGAGCAGAGGAGGAGAAGCTGCGGTGCTGGAAGGATGATGAGGTCCAGCTTTGATTTTAATTTTTAGTGAGAGTTTGAGTCATCGATGCACAGTGATCACCTCGACGCCACGACTGCAGCCAAACTGGCCGAAAGAAACGCTCTGCAGACCTCAAAGCAGGTGCTGGACAAGCTAAAGAAAAATAATGAAGCAGGACTGCAGGAGGCTGAAGGAGCACTGAGTCTTTTTTGGCTCCATGTGGAGCCAAAAAAGACTCTGCAGTGTCAGTGCTGGAGGCTGTTAGCCAATAAGGTCTGTGGGACGTGGCATGCAGTCACAGTAAGAGGTTCTTCTCACATGTTCTCATCTTATCTAGCAGCAGCAGGAGGAGGGACAGTTCGTACGGAAACACGTCAGACCCTCAGCGTGTGCGGCTGCGCTCATGATCGCGCTCCAACATGTGCTGTTGTTTAGGTTTTTAGAAACCACGTTGCTACACTGCTTTGCATGATTGTCCTTTCAAATTAACGGAAGAGGAACATGACGAATTAAAGCCGCGGCTTTCAGTGGAAAGGGGGCGGAGCTATAGGTTGATGGTTCAGGTGTCTCATGGTGGGTTCTTGGCAGGACGTGGACAACATGTTGGCGGCTGCCTCTAAAGCTCGTCCTGGCAGCGATCTGTTCAGGAACCTGGGAGATAATGGTGAGCTCTCCTGCCTTCAGTGTCACATCTAGCAGCTGGTTATTCTTCATTTCAGCATATTTCCTCCTGCCTTTCAGGTTTGATTTCCTACACAGAGTATCTCTTCCTGCTGACCATCCTGACCAGTAAGTGCTGATTTCACCACCCGCTGAGCTGCTTTTCATGTGTTTAAGGAGAAACTCTGATATTAAACCAAATGTTGGACCTACGTATGCTGAGAACCGTAATGATAAAGGCAGCTTCAAAGACCATAAGGATTTATTTATATTTTGGTCCAATATTAAAGAGTTAAATTGAATTACAGTTTGTCTTTTTAATAAAACAATTCAGTCAGATTTTCCTTTTTTTTTTTTTTATATTTAAAGGTTTTTTATTTTTGAAGAACAGCAAAATGAATATCACTGACATTTTCGGGCGAGTTGTTAAATTTAGTCATTCTGCTTCAAATCTGATTTTTATAGTGAGAGGGATGGGAATCGAAAACGGGTTCCTGTTCAGAACCGGTTCCGTGTGTTCCAATTCCATGGCACCGTTTGGCAGCTCGCTTAATGATTCCAGGCAGCACCAGAACCTAGCGCACGACTTACTTCACGTTTTTTTTTACCAAGTTACGCACACGGCATTCAGTAAGCAAGTACGACGTGACCAGGCGTAAGTCTAGAAAAACAGAACAAAAAAATGGCGTCCCATCGGGTGAAGCGATAGAAAGTTTGGCTTCATTTTAAGGAAGAGAAAGATGGCAACAAGGCGCTCTGCAATCATTGCAAAGAAGCAATTACATCCGTGGGAGGAAATACATCCAACATGCAGAAACACCTGCGCACACAACATGGCATACATTTAAATGATTGCCGTGTTTTTAATGCTTCCGCACAGAAGCTAAAGTTACGACCAGCATGAAAGTCAAATCTTTTTGTAAGTAGCTAGTTTTATATCACTGGCTGTGCTTAATGTGGTTCCTAGTAAATCATATGCCATTTCAGGAAATCAACCAATTTTCTACCTCTCTTTGGGGTTATTAAACATGCTACGAAGTTGCTCCGCAGTTCAGGGAGCGAGAGAAAGGTGGCGCTCGTTTATTTAAACCAGGGGGAGATGAGTTTATTTCCCGAAATTGTACAGTAATGCTTTTTCATTAAACGGATGCCTTCTCCATAAAATTTAGATGACTGTGAGGAGACGGGTAGCCTGGCTGGCTCAGAGGCTGGCAGCTCCCGTTCACTGCCTTCTGTTTTCTCCGAGGCAGGCAGAAATAGAAAGTCCCAGGCGATGGTAGACAAAAGTCACCGTGCACTTACCAAGTTCATTGTTTCACAGAATCGATAAGGGAATCGAATCGTTTCACAGAATTGATAAGGGAATCGGAATCGTGGAAATTGTATCAATTCCCAGCAGTGAGTGTCTTCATTATGAACAAAACATGGGAGCCTGATCACTAAATGATTTTCCTCCTAGTTTATTTTTGCATACCTCTAAGGCTACGTTCACACTGCAGGCCTTATAGCTCAATTCCAATTTTTTGTGAAATCAGATTTTTTTTTTTTTAGGTTGCTTTTCACATTTCCAAATATATGCTACTTTAACGGTACAGAGCAATTCATTCATTCAAAGAGTTTTCTTTATTTTCATTAGTATGAAAATTGTAAATTCACACTGAAGGCATAAAATTTATGAATGGAAAACAGATGGAATTATAGTGTAAAACAAATGAAAATGTGTCTGATATTCTAGGTTCTTCAAAGTTTCCCCCTTTTGCTTTGATTACTGCTTCGCACACTCTTGGCGTTCTCTTGATGCAGAGTTTAGGGACGTCAGGAGCTCCTCATTCTAACTGCATTGGCACCAGGAAAGATGCTAACCCCTCTGTTGCCCTAGCTCCTTCTAGTATTCAGACAGCACATCTGGCATGCAGATGCACTGATGTGTTCTCACTGATTTCAGGTCATCAAACGGAGGCCAAATGTCTAGAGTTTGGTAAACGGTGCAGAGCTAAACGTTTCTTGATCAGCTGAATGTTATGGTTGCAGAGCCGCGTACAGGATTCCACATAGCTTTCCAAATGCTGGACGTGGACGGCAATGAGCAGGTGGACAAGAAAGAATTTCTCAAGGTAAGACGTTTCATTAGTCATCTGTGATGTCACTCTGGGCTAAAATACCATGGTTTCAATATTTCAAATGTGAATGTGCAATTAAAGGTGAAATTATTGCATTTTAATGCTGCCAAGAGCTCTACTGATGCTACTGCAGCTGTAAGTATGAATCCAGGCTCCATGTGAAGGTGAGGAAGAGATGAAAAGCCGTTGTTTGTCTGAGGTCGTCCTTCATCTTTCTCCGTTTGTTTGAAGCCTCCTGATATTTTATGCTGCTTCAAACAAAGAAAAACGGCATGATGCCCTTTCCTGCAGCTTGTTTTCTATGTTTGAGAACAGAGCATCCATTCAGATGGCATTGTTTTTGCTTTCATTATGTTCTAGTGACCAGAAGCTCTGCTTTGGCTTTGGAATTGATTGAAACCACAATCAATCTGTACTTTGTTGTTTTGAAAAGTGATAAGAAGGAAGCAGACTCCCCACGGGAAGGAGGAGGGGCAAATATGGCGCCTTATTAAAGTATTCACACATTGTGAACTTAATAGAACGTCCTGGTCAAAGTTCACATCTTAATCCAATTCCAAAGGCCGGGTTTCACCCTTCCTGGGAGACTTTGGGTTGTTTTCATTCATAAATCCCAATAATTAAAAAGTTTATCATCAGTTCATTTGTCATAAGTTATGAATACTTTTCCAAGGCACAGTCCTGTCAAACTCCAACTCCTTTGTTTGTTTTTTTATCATTATCTTGATGTTTGCACTTTTTTTTATTCAATGAAACAGAGTTTCTAAAGTTCATCAAAGTTTCATTTCTTTCATTTAAAGTTTTTTTTTCTTTTTATTGCTGCTGCAGCTCAAGAACATAATTGGAAAGAGTAAACTGAAAGCTTCAAAGGACGTCACTGAGGTGAGTGCGGACGGTTTATGGGACTCAGTATTAGATTTTATGATAACAGGATAATTCCTGGATGATTGCAGAAAGCAGCAGAGGAAGCGGAAGCTGTAAATACATCCCTGCAGGCGTACTTCTTTGGAAAGAAAGGATACAACAAGCTGAAGTATAAAGAGTTTCACAGGTAGTTAAATCTGATTTCATTTTATCAGCATGATTTAAACTTCTAACTGCATTTTAAACTGAAATAAGTCAGTCTTAGAATCTCTAATTATTTCATCTTTAAATAAACATAATAACATAGTTTCTAATCTTTCCGATGCAGGTGTTCAGTATATTTGTGGGAATTTTCTTTGGAAAGTTTTTAAGCTTTATTAACTATAGATTTCCATTGAATTTGGGACAATAGCTTTTTTTATTAATCATTTAGAGGCCGCAATGTGTTGCATGCAGCATTCCTGGTTTGATCCAGTAGGATTCTGGGTCTCAACCAGTCCCAGGTCCTGTAAACAGTCTGTGTTGCTCAGATTCATGGAAGACCTCCAAGCTGAGGTGCAGGAGATGGAGTTCCTGCAGTTCTCCAAAGGTATGGACACAATGAGACGGGAGGACTTTGCAGAGTGGTTGCTGCACTACACCAACGAAGAGGATAACGAAGTCTACTGGGAAAACATGAGGAAGAAGATCCCTGCTGGTCAGGTACTAAAACCCTTCCTCTGTCTGACAGGATGATCAAGGCTGCTTAGTCAACAGGAATGTTTCCCTTTCAGAGCATCACGTTTGAGGAGTTCAAAGCCTTCTGCCTGTTCACCAACAACCTGGAGGATTTCGCCTTCTCTATGAAGATGGTGACCGAGGCCAACCGTCCGGTGGGAATGTGTAAGCCTTCCTGCTGCTTGGACAGATGCAGCCATGATGCTTCTTGCAGTAGATGAGAGCAGACTCTTCTTGTTTCTCTGCAGCCCAGTTTAAACGAGCGGTGAAGATCGCCACAGGTCACGAGCTTTCCGAAAACGTTCTGGACACCGTGTTCAAACTCTTCGACATGGATGGAGACAACTGTCTGAGTCACAAGGAGTTCCTGGGAGTGATGACAGACCGAGTACTGAGAGGCTTGAAGGTTAGTTTCCTATTTACAGTCCTGGTAAAACAAAGGAAACCTTCTGATATCTAAGTTCTTTAGATCAGGAATCATACCTGGTATACTGTAGTTGCTCAACAAGGGAGCAGAATTAAAAAACCCTGCCTTGATAAGCAAAAGCTGCTCTGCATCTGAATTCATCTCAATAACATGATGCTATCAGACTGCAGAGTAACTTCCCTTCATTCACAAACAGGCCCGAATCTGCCTCAGCCGTGTGAGAGCTGACGCCCTGCAGGTCAGCCAATCACACTGCAGTATTATGGGGGGCTGAACCCTCATAGCTCAAGCTATTCTAGTTTTTCTTCACCTCAACTACTGTTAATTTGATTGGATAAAACTTAGCTTTTTTCAAGTCAAACTTTATTTTTGAAGTGATTTCATACAAAGAATTTATTTCTGTATCCTGGAATCCAGTTGGTCTCGGCAGATGGCTGATCAGCATTCTCACGGTTCATTAAAAGGTCCTTGAATCCTTTAATAGCAAACTAAAAAAGACCTTAATTTGTAATAAAATGTCTAAAATCAGTCTTTCATAGGTATGAAAATTGTTAGCACATCATAAATATGATTTTATTTATTTATTCCTGTTGAAACATTAAAAAAATTGACAATCATTTTTTAATTTAGCAAACAGCTCGCTGGAAGCATTATTGGTTCCGTCCCGATAGCAGAACCAATAAAAATGATGCTGCAGGTGGACCTTGGAGTGATGCACCGCTGACTTTTTATCTGGACGACATGGGGAAGAGTAAATTGACCAGCATTAGCTATCCAGCCAAGAGTTTTCTGCATGGCTGAAATCAGAACCAGGGAAAGTAGATGAGGAACAATGAGAATCAAGACAGTAGAGTCATACATGCGTAGCGTAATAATCGGGTTTAGTGAGAAGCAGCGGGTATTTCTCTGTTCTGTTCCATCCTTGTCTCTGCAACACGTCCACAGGTTCTCCCAGATCAGCACCAACACCAGTAGCACCAAACCTCTGGATAATGTTTGTCAATTCACCAATGATAAAAGCAGAGGGATTGTGAAGTTTGAGTCAGTAACAAAACAAAGTTGATGAATTCAGTTCAGTAGTTGTTAGAAATAGATCTGTTATTTGTGTGTAGTGGCTGGCTAGTGGTAAGTCACCCGTCCTGCAAACAGGAAGGGTTTGCAGGACAGCTCCTTCCCTCCAGCTGGTTCATATCCCAGCTGGGGGGGGAATGAGCTGCCAGTGAGGGTCGTTAGGCAAGACCCTTCTCACTAATGCCTGCTTTGGGGAGTGGTGGCCTAGTGGTTAGGGCATTGCGCTTCGAATCCTGTGATTCTGAGTTCAAGCCCCACTCCCATTGACTGCCAATCTTGACCTCCACACTGCTCCCTGGATTACTGCACAATGGCAACCCACTGCCCCCCCAAGGGGATGGGTTAAATGCAGAGAGTCAATTTTGTTGCTCTGTACTTACAGTGATAATAAAAGAGTGTTTTTAGTTTTCTTCCTGTATAGCAGGGGTCTTCAATGTTTTCTAGACCAAGGAACCCCAAACTGATGGCGAGATGGAGCAGGGGCCTCCAATTATATAATTTGTATGAAACTGTGTTATATCCAACTGGTCCTATAGTCACTGTAGTACATATGGAGTAATGTAACGATTCTGATTCCTCATTGATGGGTTAGGTGTTGTGAATGAGACGGTGCCCAGCTTGAAGGAGCTCCTGTTTCACTGAATGTGTGCATTCAACTGAAAGATATAATCTGCCTCCATTTATCTGTTTACTACAGTGTGTGGAATTCATGTTAATGTGTATTTGAAGATACAATTAGTGGTGATACAATTAAGTTTCAATTAGTGGAAAAAATTGCAGGGAGGAATATAAAAAAAAAAAGTCTAATCAACCAAAACTTTTGAGATGCCCATGCAGTACCACCATGGAGCCCCTAGGGGTCGAGGACCCCCTTTTGAAGACCTCCACCCTATGGAAAGGTTTTGAAACATCTGAAACTTTTTTTACTGGCCAGAAACTAATCATTTGCTGCTACCAGGTTTTTTGTGTTTATTCTGAAGTTGATCTGAACTTTTTATTTCAAGTAGCATTAAAACACAGGGTGTTTGCTGGTCAGCCCCCATTTGTTAATGTCTTCAGTCAACCTATTGGCTATATTTGCAGCTGTCTGGCTTGAAGTAATCTTGAGTGCATCTTTCCTGCTACTTTGAATGTGAACGTCACGCGTGACGCGTGTCACTATAAAAGGAATCGATCTCATTTCCTAGACATTGATTTTGCAAAAATGTAAAGGAATCAATTCAACATCGATAAAATCGATTTTTTTTAATTATTTTTTTATCCAGCCCTATCAATGACTTTCTTCTGGACATCTCTCTCTGCAGACATCTCTTCCCTGACTGACTAGTGCACCTCTTAAATGATCAGTAGTAAAAAAAATATAAATTTGCTTTAAAATGTTCCCACTGAGGAAAAGTCCCGAAATAATGAATATATTGAAACAAAAAATGATGTAAAATAGACATTAGTTGAGCCTATGTTTGGGTTTTTTTTTTTCTTCCTGCGGTTTATGATAAAGTTTCTCCTGATTGCAGGTGCAGCATCAAAGCGGCATCTCTGGCTACTGGAAGTGTGTGAAGAGGGAGACCCTGAAGGGGGCTAAGGAGGCCCTGGGAGACAGCGGCTGCCCCATCTGATGCGCTCATCTGTCCCATCTGATGTGCTCACCTGTCCACCATTGCAGACATCTCCCATTTATTATACGACTAAACCAACTAAGCACATTATATATGATGAAACACTGCCTGAAGCTTTGTGTCGGGATGTTGACCAGCATTTTACACTGATTATTGTTATTTAGCCATTTTTGCACTCAATAAAATCAAGTTTAAATTTTCCAGTTTTTACGAAACTTGACCCTAATCTCAGGACTGGAAAGAAACATTTGTTAAATTAAAATTAAACATTAGAGGTCTGGTAATCGGAACGCTCTGAATGGAGTCACATGATGAACCATGGTGACCAGCGTTTCACAGTGATAAATATTATTCAGCCATTTTTGCACTCAATAAAATCCAAGTTTTAATTTTCCAATTTTTAAGAAACTTGACCCGATTCTCATGACTGAAAAAGAAACATTTTGTCACATTTAAATCGAACATTAAAGGCCTGGTAACCGGATCGGCTCTGGATGGAGCGAACCGGAACGTACTGAGTGGAGTCGCATCATAAACCTGATTTATTACAGCGGCTGAGTTCATTTTAACCGAGGAGTTCATCCTGTGGCTGTCCTCCTATCCGGAGAGAATAATGCTTTTATTTACATGGTTGCTGTACCATTCCGGCCTTCTCAATGTTTTGTGTGGAATTTCAATGTTTTTCAAATTTTAGTTTAACAAAAAATATCCAACTAAGACCTGATTATAGAATTGATTTGTTCTGATCAGAAAAGGGTTAGGCAGAGGTGGATCCAGGTCCAGGAAATAAAATCTGGTTTTCCTTCATCCTAACGAGGCGATTGGCTCCCAGTCTAACATGTGGAGCTGGAAATAGCTGGACTAATATCGGTGAAGGCTTTTTACTTTCTGGATCTGGATTATCCAATAAGTTAATGATTCTTTAGGATCATTATTTTATTATATGGAATTCATAATATCATCTTTGACAGCTTTACTGTCTGGTTCTCCTAAAGGTTTCTTGTTTTCTTCCAGTTGTTTTCTTCCAGTTTTATCCCATGTTTCTGTGATTTAGAATTATTTTAATTTCAGGTGGAAACTGTTGGTTGTTTTCAGCTATTTTCTTGCACTCCATACAATTAGGTGTAAATTTTTATATTTTCAAAGCGTCACTAATTTGGGGAAACTGATGATGGAATGGGACTGAAAAACTAGTTCTACATTGATTTAAACATTGGCAGACTTTTATTCATGGGATTATTTTAACTCAGACGCCGTTCCCTTCTATAAGCACAGAAATATGTTTAGATCAGAGGTCCTCAATGTTTTCCAGGCGAAGGACCCCCAAACTGATGGTGAGATGAAGCAGGGACCTCCTAATTATATTGTATAAAATTGTGTTATATCAAAGTGGTCCTATAGTTACTATTACAGATGGAGTCATGTGACGAAAGTAATTCCTCCCTGGGATTATTAAAGTTTTTCTGATTCTGATTCCTGGTTGATGTGAATGAAACAGTGCCCAGCTTGAAAGAGCTGTGTGTCGCTGTATGTGTGCATTGATGACAGAATAACATCTGCCTCCATTTATCTGTTTACTACAGTGTGTTGAATTCATGTTAATGCGTATTTAAAGACATTTCAATTAGTGGAAAAAAATTGCTTGGGGGAATAAAAAAATAGTCTAATCAAATCTTTCGTGACCCCCATGCAGTACCTCCATGGACCCCCTAGAGTTTGCGGACCCCCTGTTGAAGACGTCCGATTTAGATGATTTGTTTAACAGGTTTATCCTGCAATCTTTGCTGAAATCAGCAGTAAAGCAGTTGTGACTATAGTCCTTTATTGTAGAATTGACCTGTTCAGATCACATGTGTGGGAAACCATTCAACGTGATGCTAATTATTTTACTATACATAGAATTCAAAAGTAAATTGAAAAAAAAAAAAACAGGCTTACATCTGTGAAAGATGAACTAATTAGTGAATAGAGCATAAACAGCTACCAGAACATTACACCGAGCAGGAAGCCATCTTTGGTCTTCTTATCACTATAAACAAATACATAGAAATTTGTATTGTATCAAAAATAGAAATTACATCGCCTTATTAAAAGAAAGTTCACATTTGAAACATACAACAGAAGAGTAGCTATGAGACAGATGACATGTTTGCCTCCGTGGCTTTAAGGACCAAATGGGTTGGTTTGGTTTTTTTTTAACATTCCGGGTTTTTTTTCCTCCAAAGAATTGCATTTCTTTTTCCAGGTTATCGATCAACGCTGTCCTGCATCCGTTTCCTACACAATGAAAAACACAGAACAAAAGGGAACAAAAAAACAAATCAGATTGTCAGATAAACATGTGCTTTCTCTCCTGGGCTGTTGGTGAGGAAGAACAGCTGATCGGAGCCTTCGGTCTTCCTGGGAATTCTTTCCGACTCCGCTTATGGAGGCACATGTGATGAAATGCAGCCGAACTGGACCTCTGCTTGAGATTCAAAGGGAAGTGCTTTCAAACTGTTTGATCCCCTGGAAGCAGAGCAAAAAGAAGTTGTCATCTCATCAGGCATTTTAGGATTTAGGTAACTGTTGACACTTTTATTAGTAATTGTTCACTAGGCTGATACTGAAAGTCAACAGGATGTTTTCATTATGGAAACTTTGACCAAAACAGGAAATGAGGTGTTGCTGATATTTGAGGAGCAATGGCAGCCTGCTGGGCCTCCTCTACAGCGCCATCTGTTGGTAAACTAAAAATCCACCAACAGACTGGTTATAAACCAGAACTTTGCCTTTTATTTCTTGTTATGTTTTCCCAGCTGTGCAGCAAAGATCAGCCTCGTTTGATTCAATCTGGAAAGAAAAAAGTAAACTAGTAGCTTTTATTAAACAAATCCTGTCAGTCCTGAAACCTCTAGATATACGTAATGCTCCTAAAGTTCTTTGGATGAATTTCAGAGCCAAATTGGTCAAAACTGGGATTTGGCAGCTGAACCTGGAAAAAAGAAAAACATTGGAAAATCAACTGTTGTGCCTCTTTTTTGGAACAAATATTTATAGTAATTTTAAGATTTAAGAAGAAGAAATGGCTGCCTTAAAACTAGATCGGAAAATGGCTCAGAATAGATGATAACTGACATACGTCCCAATAGGGAGATTATTAAAATGTTATAGAAATGTTTCAAACTAATAATTTGGTTTATTCCGCTGCTATTTTTTAACTCAGAATCTGAAACATTTGTTAATCTCTGATTTAAAGATGCATTCAAATCAATACAACTATTGTCCATCTTTTCAATTAGTCTTAATAATTAAGCTTTATTCTGTTGTTTGTGAATTAGTTTGATTTGTTCTGCTGATTTTTAATGTTCAGTTTTGTTTTTGCCTTTTGTCAATTTGGTTCTCAGATTTTTCATAAAAATAATAATAGAACATTTTTAACCTTCCTTAATTCCTTAATTATTAATCCTCGTCAAAACGACCATCAGCCTGAGAGCAAAATTCATCTTCATTATATGAAGGAAAAATAAAACTGACAGATGTTCCAGGATATGAGCATCAGAACGACCATCTCCAGCAGTGTGAAGTCATTCTAGTTCCTGAGATCTAGATAGAATAACTAGATCTCAGCTAAAGTTCCTCATTGGAACAGAGCAGCAAAGAACTGCACCTCACCCAAACTATGTTGAGCACTGATGGTCAGCTGGCTTCAACAAGGCTCCTATCCTTTTCTAGTAATTAAAAGATCAATTCCTCAGAGTGAAAATTTTGGCAGCATTAAAAAAAAAGCCAACTGTAGAACACCATCATTCTGACTGACCTACAATATTTATAAGGTTCAATTAAGGAGCAGAGCAAAGTGTTTATAAAGTCCAGTTAGCTAGCAGAGCTAAGTGTTTATAAAGTCCAATTAGCTAGCAGAGCTAAGTGTTTATAAAATGCAGTTAGGGAGCAGAGCT